CCTCCTCCAACCCTGCAGTCTCCCAGCCCTTCCGGCTAACTCCCAGTTACATCCTGGGCATGACGTGCTGTGGTATGGAATACCTCTTTGGTCAGTTTGGGTCAGGTGTCCTGTCTCTGCTTCCTCCTGGCTTCCCCTCCTCCCTGGCAGAGCATGAGGCTCACAAAGTCCTTGGCCAAACCAAAACATCGCTATCAGCTCTGTTCCCGAGCTGAAAGTCAAAACACTGCACTACACCAGCTACCAAGAAGGAGAAAAATGACTGCTACTGCTGAACCCAGGACATTATCCACCCCTTATTCCATACCATTCACGTCATGCTCAGATCCCACATTTTCAATATACCATCACTCTTATCTCGGTGCACTCTTATCTTAGTGCATGGAGCAGTCCCTATAAAGCTGCTGAGTCCATCTGGTCCATGATGCCAGGCTCCACCTCTTGTAACAGTCTTCCAGAGCAGGAGAGACTGTGTGCAGTGTTCACACTTGTGAAGAACCTGGGCAATAGTGTCCATTGCTAAGTCCACCCCTCGATCATGAGTCCATCTCTGTGTTGCATCTCAGCTCTGATGGCCTGAAGTGCCATGGGCTCACCAGGCTTAAAATAATTCACTGTCCCCTTCAGCAGTTTCTGCAGCTTGTTGCTGGGGACTCCATACAGCTGCCTTCCATCTCCGATGCTTCCAAAGCACTGGAGGGGCCCAGTGGACTAGATACTTGCCCATACTGTCACACACACCCTGCCACTCATGACTGTCCAGCCTTGTGGAAAACCTCTTGGTCCCCCTATACTGTCGTCTAATCCCAGACAAGACCCAAACCTGACTCTGCTTAACTTTTGAGTTCAGACAAAATGGTTGTGGGTAAAACACAGCCTGTGTGTGTGCCAACATGCTGATCCCCATCACAATCAGCAGGCAGGTCCCAAGGATACCCAAAGGCCATTCAAAACCTTCAGAACTCTCAAACGATGCTGCTGTGCTTGTCACTGGGGCTGGTGTAGCTGCTGTGCTTGCCGGCTCTCCCACCACCAGCTTCTCTTTTCCTGAGTCCAGCTCTTCCTCCTCTGCCTTGCTGGGAAATGCTGCGTGGTCTCCTGCATCCTCCTGGGGCTCGGCGGGTGGCTGCCGGGGAATGCTCTCGACCGTCGCGGGGCTGGGCTCCTCCGCGGGGCTCGGCTCCTCCGCGGGGCTCGGCTCTTCCGCGGGGCTCGGCTCCTCCGCCGCCTTATCCCGCTGCTCGGCAGCCGCTTCCTTCTGCTTCTCGACCGCCCCGGCCTCCTCCACCGGCAGCCGTCCCCTGGCGGCCTCCGGCCCCGCTCCCGCCGCCGCTCGGTCCCCGGGGCCTCTCTCCCGGGCCGCTTCAGCAGCCGCCGGCTCCCGGGGCCGCTCCCCCTCGGCTCCCCGCAGCCTCACGAAGATGGAGAGTTGGGCGAGGGCCAGGACGGTGAAGAGCAGCCGGACGGCCAGGTACAAGTCCACGGCCACGTCCGTCCCGCCCTGCTGCTGGAGCCCGCCCGTATTACAAGTCATTGCCATAAAGCACAGTGAGACAAGAACCTTAGCCCAGGCCCCACACCTGATAAACACTAACACAGCGAATACCGGCTCTACGTAAGTTACAACATTCTGAAGCTGTGAGATCAACAAGAACAACTCTGATACCCAATAAATCAGCATTGTGACGAGTGACTATTAATCCAGGGAGATCTGTCGTTATCTCAACCCTTCTTGCCCCACGTTGGGCGCCAAAAAGAACTGTCGTGGTTTAAACCCAGTCAGGTAATTCGTTCGCTCACTTCCCCCCCCTTTCTTGCCCTCCCCCTGCTCTTGGAGGGATGGAGAGGAGAATCGAAAAGAATGCAACTCCCACGGGTTGAGATAAGAACAGTTTAGTAACTAAGGTATAACACAGATCACTACTGCTACCACCAATGATAATAATGATAAAGGAAATAACAAGGGAAGAGAATACAACACCTCAGCACCAGCTGACCGATAACTCGCCCCCCTCAGCCCGACCAAGCTCCGACCGATACCTCCTCCAACCCTGCAGTCTCCCAGCCCTTCCGGCTAACTCCCAGTTACATCCTGGGCATGACGTGCTGTGGTATGGAATAGCTCTTTGGTCAGTTTGGTTCAGGTGTTCTGTCTCTGCTTCCTCCTGGCTTCCCCTCCCCCCTGGCAGAGCATGAGGCTCACAAAGTCCTTGGCCAAACCAAAACATCCTTGTTATCGGCTCTGTTCCCGAGCCAAAAGTCAAAACACTGCACTACACCAGCTACCAAGAAGGAGAAAAATGACTGCTACTGCTGAACCCAGGACAATAGGGTTAGTCTCCATGTGTTTGAGCGACATTCACCTACAAATGGCTGTGAAAAAAGGGCCTTACAGAATTTAACAGTACACCTGCAGCAAAGCAACAGATCTCAGAGGCTTTGAGAAAGAAAACATCAAGGATTTCAACTCAAGGTGAGATTATACAAAGGCAATCCAAAAGTAACTGCATCCAACTTCAGTGTAAAACTGTAGCTTTACCAGTAAATGGTTTTCCTGAAGAAGACCACACCTTAGATATATTCACATCCAATAAAATTAGAAAACAAATTTAAAACTACATGGATACACCACTGTACAATTCTGGAAAATAAATTTGTTTTTTAAAATCTTTCTCCTTCTATAGCAACTGTCACATATTTACCAAACTAACCACTGTGTCACTTTAAGGCTCTGGAAGATTTTTACAGATGTTATGAAAGAAAACTTTGATTTATTTCAGACTCCAAGACTGGAATATTGCTTACTCAGTAAGAACAGAAATGTCAATCAGTAAATAAACCCTTGCCTTCTGAAGTCCTCAATCTCAAAACTATATGCTTATATGACAGATTAAAGTTTTCATACAATTTCAGATAGAAATAGGCAGCTTTCCTCCCTGATTGCAAAGGTCAGCTTACAGCTTTCCACAAACTATTATGTTTCATTCTTTCAAAGATGCAAAGAAAATATTCTGAGATGCAAAGAAACATCATCCAAATCACAGTTTAACCTACTGCTCTGCTTGCATATGTAGGAATGTCTATGGAAATCCACTCAGTTCAGGAACTACATGCATTTAGAAGATTCATCCTGTAACACTCTTACTTTAGTCTACCCACACCTGAAAGCCAGAACACTTGGGATCAAAGTACATCCTCTTTGTTTGATTTTAACATCTCCTTCCACCAAGATATCTCTTGTCCCAGGTAGTTGGTCTCAAATTGAGAAAAAAGTCTCAAAACCTCCAAATAATACAGAATCTCTAAGCAACACAAGATTATCCAGTTGCCAGTTTCATTACTTGCTCAAGCAGGGTAAAACTCATTTAGTAAGAAAGTCTGTGTAAACAAATATCTTAATATTCTACTAAACATAAGAAAAAATAACCTCTAATATTCATTGTAACAAACATAAGGTTTTAAAAGCAAATGAAGTATTTAAGTGATACCTTCTCTTCCTTGCATTTGGCCTACACTAAAATAAAATCATAGCCCAATGAAGCCAATGGCAGTTTTCATCCCTGGCAATAACAGGGCCAACCAAAGTGCTATTAATGAAAAGTGGTATTTAAGTTTGCCTTCAAAAGGTATACCTAACGTAAAGGCAGACTTAAAAAGAACATAATACTGATTTAGACAGCATTCACCTTTATCTAAATCAGAGGTACAAAAACAAAGAGACAAACAACTTTAATCCCAAGCTTGCATCCCTCTCCTTCATTACAGATCAGAGCAAGTTAAACTAAAAATAGTAATGGAAGAAAAAGAATGGATTAATTTGAAGATAGCGGACTTCAGGGATCCTAACTAATAAAATAATTATTATTTCCAGAAACACTGTAGAAGTGGACTACTGCAATTTCACAGGAGTAATGAAAGTTTAACCTGAAAAGATCTAAATGTGCAACAGTTTAAATTTTACCAAATTACAGGCACTGTACTCTGGAGACTGGCTTCCCCTCACCCCTTCTTTTTTTTAATCATGGCTCCATCATCTTCAAAGTTTATTTCAAAGGCTTCCAGTTAGTGTAACTATAATACTGTTCTAAAATCAGCACCTCAGGAAATTATTCCATAAACAAAGATTAATATATAATAGAGCAAGATATTCTAACCAAGAATACTCAGAGTGGATTTATTTTCTGTGTATTACTCAGAGAGTCTCATCAGAATAAGCAAAAATTGAAACCAAAGATCGTAAGACAAGAACAGCAGAAAACTAAGAAAGAAATATCCTTAGCATTTTTAGTGGAAGAATTTTAGTCTTATCTGAACACTTTGATTGTTTTTTAATATCTGAAGAGCATTAATGGAATTTTTCCAAAAACAATGTAACAGATCAGAACAAATTTTATTATTGCTATTAATGGCTTTTGCAGTGTTGCCTAGTAACCCAGTTTCAGACCCGAGGAGCAGCAAGGCAGACACTGAGGAAAAAAGCCCACAAAGTATGTCCAGCACAGAAAACCCAAAAACCCCAACAAAAATAACAAAAGCAAAAAACCCACCCCACAGTTGTTTTCACCATATTAAACTAAACTTTAACTTTTCAAAGATTCTGGGGCCTAAATGAATCAGTTAATCCGTTATTCAGATTGATCCAACCTATTATTGCTGCTTAACAGAAACAACCAACCAAACATTGACTTAGCAATGACATTCGCTTTTTGAGAAGTGACAACCTGTCCTTAAAAAATTATTGGGAATTCTAACAAAAATTTAACAAAAAAGCAAAATCTCTAGAAATGAAAATTTTCACCATTACATAGAATGATGTTATAAACCTTGTAAGTTTTACAGGATGCGGACAATCATTTAGCCAAAAGCCTGCCATGTTTACAGAATTTCAAAGGGAGAACAGTTTTTGCTTTAGTTTCATTCTATCAACAGGTTTGATCAATCTTTTTGCACCAAAGTATGTTCCTCCAGTATTTTGAACATAATTTACTTATGTAACATACCTTGAAAACTGTTCTTGCAGCCCACGCATCTGAGCTCTGCTGCGTTCTGACTCCAGGGTCACCTCCCGCAATCTTTTTTCACTCTCAAGTCTTAAATGTCTTTCTTCCTCCAACTCATGTATCAGCTTCTCACGCTGAAAGACCATAAAAACATTATTTATTAATTGTACACATAAAACACACTTTTAGCAAAAATTTCAGATCTAATTTGGAAAAAATCACTGAACAATCAAAATAATTACCCTAACTCCCCAATCCCATCATTTTTTGTGTAGCAGTGTTTCACAGAATGACAAGCTAGAGATGGAAAGCCTTTCAGAATATCCCCATCACGCTGAGATACTCTTACTTGGCTCAGACTCACTGAAATAAGTATATTTAAAAATAAACTCCCACCCTCTCCTGCAAAGCCCTTTATCTTCCACTCAAAATAAATATTAAACATGGTATTTGAGATCTGTGATCTGACTTGCTTGAATGCAGACATGGGAAGCATGAAACAAGCCAAAGAGGACAACCTGTTACCCCCCCTTAACGTTTCTAGCTCACAAGCAGAGAAGGACCTGACTCTGAAGCCACAGGTTTTCTTGGTTTGGCTGACAGGAGAATCCCTATCAGAATCCATTCAAACCTATTTACTGAAATACTATGAAAAATAGTCTTTAAAAACTGAGTACCAACCAAACAAATATGAGAGAAATAAAAATGCCATTAATTTTACTAATAGTTCTCAAAAGCAAATTAGTATACGGTTTTTGCTAATTCTTAGAACATCGGACCAAAACACCCAAGCTACAATATACAACACATCTGCACAAATCACATGTCACAACTAAATGCAATTTAAGAAGAGGAGGAGAATGAACTGAAAAGTTATAAAAAATGCTACTGTGCCCTGGGTTCAGCAGTAGCAGTCATTTTTCTCCTTCTTAGTAGCTGGTGCAGTGCTGTGTTTTTGACTTTCTGCCTGGGAACAGTGCTGATAACACCGATGGTTTTAGTTACTGCTCAAATGTTTAGTCTGAGCAAGGACTTTCTGAGCCTCATGCTCTGTCAGGGAGGAGGGGAAGCCGGGATGAAGCAGGCAGGACACCTAACCCAAACTAGCCAAAGAGGTATTTCCATACCACAGCACGTCATGCCCAGGGATGTAAACTGAGAGCTACCCAGAAGGGCTAGTGCATTGCTGGGTTGAGTTAGGTATTGGTCCCTGAGGTGTTATATTCTCTTCCCTTGTTATTCCCCTTATCATTATTATTATTGGTGGTAGCAGCAGTGGTTTGTGTTATACCTTAGTTACTGGACAGTGGAGAGGCTCCAATGTCAATTGTCTAAGAAAAGGTTAAGTAACTGTAAAGCTACAGTGGGTTAGTGGGTTCAACACCCATATGATTTGAAAAATCTGTGCCCATGGCGCAGTACGATTTGTAGCCTGTCAGACAGTCTGATGTAGTTCCACTGCTGACCCAAATTTTCATGACACACCTGCAAAAATTCATCTCAAAATTATACATACAGTTTCATTAGAAAACAACAAAGGTATCTTAGTGTTAAGCCATTAAATGGGGGAGACAGATCATTTGTACATGTCTCACCACTATAAATCTTACTGGATAATAATTTACAATAGCGGTAACCAAGGGACCAAAAATATGAACATTACCAAGTGGAAAAAGGATTCTAGAGACAGTGATAAATAAGCAGACGCCACAAAGGAAGGCTGCAAAGGCTTAAATGAAATATATATATATATGCTCGTGAAAAAAATAGGGCAAATGACTCAGAGAGCAGAGGGCTTCTGTCTAGTTGGTCATATGTAATATCTGGAAAACGGCAAAACAAGAAACAGGTTACTAGAAAATAAACGTATTGTTCTAACTAAATTACCTAATTACTGTCCTTGCTGTTACATAACCATGTTCTGCCAGGTGATTGGTTTCTGCCACATGAACAAGAGCAGAGTGCTTAGCACCCAGCAGAAGATGCACAGTAGACATACAGAAAGTACGGCTCATGAAGGGTAACTTGGGATAATGATACACAAAGAATATTCAAAGCAGTATTTCTCCAGCTTAGATCCCATCAACACTAGCTTCAAAATTATACTGTTCCTGAGGCCCTTGCTGAATACAGTTGGCATCTTCTGTTACAGAAGCATTTCACTGCTGCTAAAGAGACTAGAGCTTCCAAAGTCAGAGTAGCAGGCAAAATTACATAAAATAAAAATATAGTTACCACCCAGGGCTTAAGACAAGCTTTCAGAAGATAATGACGTCTACAGAAATTGGGTTTAAAACCGAATATGTAACTGTCCCTATGGAAACTGATAAGCCACACTGGAGGAAATTCAGGTACTGCTATGAACCCCTGAGTGCCCAAGTTGACTCAAAGCACCAGGCTGTGCCTGAGCTACCTGATGCAGTAACAGCTAATGATAATGAACTGAAGACTAGAGTGCCATTACCTCCACAACGATCTTACTCTGATTCAGCACCTCTATATGTCTGCTACACTGACAATGCTCTGGTCCTCAAATAACCCTTCTTTCTACATTAAGTACAAAGCCAGATCTCCATGGAGGGGAGAGACAAAACATGACACTTCAGAGCAGACATGAGTATCCAGTCCTCCATCTCACTGACAGGATATTTTGCAGGTTGCACAAAGCTCCACCAATTCTCCTGAAGAACAAATGTGCTATATCTACATGCATGGCCATGGTGCTGCTAATCACAAAACCACATTTTCTAGTAGAGCACTGAATATAAAGCAGAGATTCACAAATCCAAACTGTCTCCTACAAGAGCTGCATAAGCTATTTTCAGGTTTCATTTACCTCTTGCTGCTAGGTCAGAGAATGCTGTTGCTAACCATTTACTCCTTCCATTCATGAGGGGATGTCTATATTACTGCCATACACAAAAAGATCAGCATAGCCACATGGGGGGGCGGGGGGGGGTGTGGGTTTTTTTTGGTTTTGTTTTTGTTTTTTTAAGAAGGACAGACCTAGGAATTACCTTAAGAAAAGTAACTGTAACCCGTAAATAAACTCACATTTCAAGAACAATAGCACTACTAGAATGAAATGTCTAAACATTAGGAACTTCTGGAATTCGTTAAATGTCCAGTTCCACCTCATGGGCAAGCACTATGACACAGTATTATATATGTGCACAGTATTAAATAAGTGCACAGTATTATGTATGTGCACATATCGTTGCTGTACAAAAGCTATGCTCCCTTTCAGGATAAGAGATGAACAATGAACAAGTCAAAAGGCTATGAGACCAGAAACGAAAGCACTAACCTACAGCCCTGAAATTCTGGGTTCTCTTCCAGTAATGAAAAATTTCCTGTATGAATGGAAAGAAGACTGCCCATGAGACAGCTGTACAGCAATAACACCACCAGCCTTCAGTTTGTGCTTCTCACAAGAAATTGTTGGCAAGTTTGAGGCACTTCTGCCATTTCTTGCAGGCAGAAAGAAGATCTGCTTTCAGCCAGATCACAGACATTAAATACAGGGTGGAGGGAAAGAAGCAAGAGACCACCCACCCACACTCAGCAAGTTTTCAGACTCCAGGACACAAAACTCTCATGTATACTACACACAGAAGGTCTCCCAGCAGTAGTGATCGTATCTACAAGAGAAGATAACTAAATTTTTATTCAAAGCCAGAAAAGCCGTAATGAAGTGTCAGAAGAGAGAAGTGAGCCTAATGTACAGAAAGGCCAGGATTAAACAGAGAGGTTTTGGGTTGTTTGGGGTTTTTTTATCTCCTGGAAGCAGATAGCATACTGCTGAATTCTTCAGAAATTCTGCATTGTCAACCCCCTTTACAACCTCCTCTGTGCTAACCCCATTTTATTCCTGTGCAAAATAAAGATGTGTGCGAGGACATGAACTAGCCAGAAACAGTTCAAGGTTTTACAGTGAACATAAGCTTACTGGAAAGAGAGACTATTAGCATGCCATGTGAAGAAAAGGTTAAATAAAAAAAGAAAGTATGTGAAATGCATCAGCATGTTTTAACACCAGAAAAATCACTGCCATCTTCCAATGAAGTTCCCACTTGCCAATTCCTCTTTAATTGTAGCTCCTTCTCTACATGAGCTCTGCTCAAACTATTTTTCCATGCTTCCTCTCCCTGCCTTCTGCAGCACAGCTATAACCTTCTCCTCTTACAAGTATAACCCTTACTTCACCCTTGCTTCCCTTTGTCAGCCTCTCCAGATAGCCTGACTTCCATCACATCACCCTGTCAAATTTCTGATAACTTTTCAAATATGCAAAAATTTTGTGTGAACAAACTAGAATGAAAGACAGGGTTAACAAACTCCACCAATACTTTTGTGCAAGTACTGGAATATTTTAACACTTGAACAAATACTGTTTGCAATTACTTCTTCATGAACATTTCAGCAATCAAGTTTCACTAGCTGCTCATTATGTTCATGAGCCAGCGTTTGCACTTCAACGAGTTCCTTTTTGTGTAGCTGTAGAAACGTTCATGTCAAAATGTTTCATTTCTCATCTAGTCAGGGACATGTACCACACACTAACTCGTCTCCTCAAAGTTAAGGAAGGAATCCAATTTGAGGTATTCATGATCAAAACAAAATGCATGAAAACTATTTATGGCTAGACTGAAAATAGTGCATATATTTAACAGAAAATTCTAACTGCTCCTCAGCACTCCATGAAGAGGCCAAGAGACAATGCTTATTTTCAGAGTTACTCATTAATAGCCATGCTCTCAGTCTAAGGACTGACCCAGAGCAGCCATGTGACAAGTGTCTCCTAAGAAGTGCTCAACTATTTTTGTCTCCTTTAATTCCCTTTGGATGTCGCAAACGTCAGCACCTGGTTCTTTCACTTCTACCACACTGCAAGTGTCCCCTCTCAAGTGACCCCTAACACTGTGACAGCCACCAGAAAAGGCAGAAGTGACAAAACATGAAAGTGGATGTGGTGGGCAGCAGCCACAGGAGGCGGAGGGCAGTGCGTGGTGCAATAGGCCCATCATTGCTGGCCAGTTTGACACCTAGCATGCAGAGTGAACACGCAGCACCTTAAGGTTTTGAACAGAAAGGCTGTCTTCTTACCTCTTTTTCCTTTCTGAGCTATTTTCCT